GTTTCGTGTCGCGATCAGATACTGCGATTGCGAAATACGTTTTACTGAATTATAATAAAGATTCGCAGACTATGGGTAATGCAAATGCCTAATTCTATACGTTAGTTGATATTGTGACACTAACGCTAAGATTAAAAAAACAACTTCTTTATTAGTATTAAAAACATATTGCAAATTGTTCATGTTTAATAAACGCACCAAGAAGTTTGCGTGTTCGCAAAGCCACTTTTTAAACGTCTTAAATGGTGTTCGTCCATAAAAAAGTATCGGCAAAGTGTTGTTGAAGTTGTTATTCCGAAGTGGACTGCTACTTATTTATAAAACATGGCAAAGTCTTTTAACGCTGCACTTCGCAATAGCTAAAGTTCGATCGCTGTAAGTTCCCCTTTTCGTTTTATAACTCGGAGGCTGACCAGAAAGTTGTAGAATCACTTTTAAAGTCTAAACTAGAATGGAATAACAATGGTTCTTGTCTTAATAAGCTATGTTTTCTTTTTAATTAGGTTTGTATTGTGAGAATGAGTTATAACAAGTTGATGTAGGTACTTGAGCTTTCATGGTGGGTCATATTTTTTGATGAGTTAATATACTGATTTTTGTAATATAGGTACTTAAGAGTACACTGTACATTTTTGTACTTTGTGTAACCCTACCAATTTTGGTCACCCTGCGGCAAATATGAATAAAAGTGAATAATATGTTGTTTTTCTCCAATCAACTTACTTACTTTTTTGTATTAGATAAAACAATTAAGTTTACATTATCGAATGCTATGGAAACATTTTATAATAATATTTTTTTCTTGTTTTCGATACACGCTGCTTCATTACCTATTCAAAGGCTTACATCTTTTTTGGTAATCGAACAAAGTAAACACTAACTCAAGTGTGTGCGACTACAAACGATCGCAAACAAAGCTTAAAAAAATTCTCAACGTAGAGAAATCACAAAAAGTTAAACATCCTTTTCCTTTGCTTTGTTACTACAGTTTTGCACAAAGTTCGATCTCTTTCTAAGGAGTTTGTATGTCAAGGTGAGAGTGTGCAAAGGCATAGTACACTTTTTTTATAATGGGTAAAAAATGTTAAACTCGCGTCAGGACACATGACCTGATCGAAAATTCGTAAGACGGATGGAGAGTAGACAGCTGGTGCGGCGTAGAAGAGGAAGTATCCCCCTCTATTTCTACGGTGCGGCGAAAATGTATGCCAGCGCCTGCTGTTTCGTTTAGGCGGCGCAGGGCGCTTGCGCGAATGTTCGCGTGTGTTTATGTTACAGCGTGCCACGCGCATCCATGGATGGTGACAGCTGATGGTTCGACCGTCTGTGTAGTGACTACACTGCTGTGTATTCGTAAAATTCATGTATATAAAGTGTTACTGATGATTAAAACAATTCATGCAAAATTATCCCCTAACCATTCCAAAATATCAAAAATGCACAACGCTCATATTCAAGTTTTCACTTCTGCCGGCACTCCCAGAGTGCAACCCGTCATTTTTTTTGTGTTGCGTGTACTTGAACCATGACCATACCAGTGTCATTTTTTTAGAATGGGTACTTTACTAATAATTATACTAACATATTTTATTGTGTGGTTGAACACGACACCTTTTCTTTGGAAAACGTACACATTTATCTTTACACAGTAATAGTAGTTGAAATTATATAAACACCTTGTTGTACGATGATTTATTGGATGATTCATATTCAAGTAAGACCAGTGTTAAGAATATTAAACATTTCTTACAGTGGTCTCCTAATCACGGATCACTTGATAAATCATCTCACAAATATGTTGCATACCTATAATTTCAATTTGTCTGATTCAGTCATTCTTACTTAATGGAGATTAAACACATATTACGGTACATTATTTAGGCATAGAAACGTTGATGTATACATAAATGTTTGAGTTTACTTAATGCGTTGATCGATGTATAAGTAAAATCCTCTACGCAGTATCCATCTTGCTGGATCCAGCATGCGGGATATCGCTATACATGTGGCTATACCATAGAGGTATAAGAATAGAGTAGGGGAGATATACACTCTACTACAAGTGGAAGTGTCGCTCTAATAGAAAGAGAAAGAAGATGAGAGACTGCTAGCTTTCTCTCTCCAATCGCGCATGCGCATTGGCAACCGTAAGCATCTTATTATTTCAATGTGATGCCATTGGTTGCCATGCGTCACAAGAGAGAGAGATAGCTAGCCGTCTCTCATCTTCTTTCTCTTTCTACTAGACGGACACTTTTAGAGCCGCCATCCCCACTCTTTTCTTATACCTCTATGGCCTATACACGTAAAAGAGATGGAGATACAGGATCTCTCTTTTACGTGTTAGCGCTGTCCCGTACTTAACGAATTGGGGCTGGTTTCGGACTTTGAAGCGCAAGTCGGAGCGCCCACAGACTTAAAGAGTGAACTGAGGGACTCCCACAGAAACAGAGAAAGCGATTATGCAGTCTTTACTTATACGAACTATTGGCCGCACGATCACTTCGCTTCTGTAATGTATAATAAGTGTATTTAGCAAGTAACACTCACACTTACCTGCCCAGTTTTACTTACCGTTTGGACAGGGAACGTAGTCCATTCTCTATGTCTATATTGTCTATGAACGAGACTGACGACAATACCACAAAATAGACATTTTGATAATACAAACGACGCAGCCTTGAACCTGCGCGGGCGATGCCCCATGCGGCGTGCCAAATCTCCTAACATACCTACATCTAGGTCCATTTTCATGGTCGCCAATTTTGAGACGAATAATTTCTTAATGAATTCCTACTTCTTTTTATGCACGTACGACTTTTTGCACCGTTTTCGGAGTTGGCAGATTACCAAAAGTCTTAAAAGTAAGAAGCTTTTAAATATATTTTAATTCAAGCCCAATATTCTGCAGTCACACCTCAAAAACTCTTTGTTGATATCTCTAAATATTTGACAGAGATTCTTATCTTCAATAACAGACAAAATTATCCGAAAATCTTACGTTATTAAGCTACCGCGTTAATTTTAGTATTTTGAGGAACCCATAGGAATCCAGGACGCATTTTCCTGGATAAAAAATCGGTATCCTATGTCTCAATCCAGGTCTTAACTATAATGCGTACCAAGTTCAGATTCAGATGAAATCCGTTCAATAGTTTTTGTATTATTGATTAACAAACATACAAAAAATTCACACATACATATAATTTTAGTAGGATAATAATAAACACATTTTCTGGTTTAATTTTTTAATAACAAAAATTACCTGGTATTTTAGAATTACAATGGTATTTCATTAATTAAACCCGTGTTAAATACTACCCGAGATCCCGACTTCTCGTACACTAGGCAGGCTTGTATAAACGATTGTACATTTTGGAGCTAGGCCAACTTAAATACCCTCAATAAATATCTAGAACTACTGGCTTCTAGTGTCATCTGTAAACAGTTCGTTTTGCATATTTTTATAAATATTTTAATCTGGAACGCTCGTTAGGTAGGTTATAGACTTTATTTGATTTCGTAAACTAATATAAAATAATGTTAACTCGTATTATTTTTAGTCATAAAAACAGCAAACATTAGAAGTTTATTGAATGTTTTGAAATAGAATAAGTGTTGTTAATTATTGAAATAAAAATTTGTACGTGCCTGTAAGTTTTTTAATTAACAGAAAAAAGGAACATCTGACTTTACATATTTAAATAAAATTTTAGATCAAAGATAAAGTATTTAAACCAAAATAAGTTTTATAACAATAAGTACTTTAGAACAAAAGATATTTTATATTCTGTAGTCGAATATTCGAAAATGGAATTATTACTGCGCACTGTTCTAATGTAATGACCTGCATCCGAGTCCAAGAACCCGCCACTCGTATTTGCAGCCATCTGTATTGTACGAGTATGTTACTTCAAAAATATCCAAATCGAAAAATCCCGTTTGTTGTTAGGAACCTCTCCTTATATTTGCTCGGCATAACCTATAAATATACTTATTCTATGCATATTTTCAAGTTCATGAGATAAACTCAATGCAGACATGATAGCCTAGTAAGTGAATAATTACTTCGAGATCATTGTTTTTGATTTCGTCCAATGTTTATTTATGTATTGCTCGGCGCATCACCGATTTCAATTGTGTTACAAGTGTGCTTATGTTAGGAGTACACCCTCGTCAGTGGCTGTCACCTGTCTTAGCCGCGCTACCCCAATTTACTCGCGGTTATAGATTAAATAATGATTACTTACCGAGATCCCGTACCGCCAGCATTCATGATGCTTCATTGCTTCGATATTAAATTATGTAATTTATGTAACTTCTAGTAGATACCAACTTTAGACGTGGGTATGGAATTTTGACCCGCGTGAAACCTTCTCAGTTTTGATTAAACACTGATGAGTTTCGGTGGTATGAGTGACGGTACGAAAAACTATAATTTAGTCTATTTGAAGGAGCCTAATATAATTGAATTTTAATAAATTTCTGAATTTAAATGATATCTGATTGGGATTATAGAGAAATCTATCTTTTCTATTTTCCCTAAAGTATAAATTAATCATATTGCATTCGAACTAAAAATGGAAATTGTGTTATCAAAAATTTTATTGCTACGGTTGCTGTTACAAATCATTTTACGATTGTGTGATACGTACTACAGTTTTGTTTTGTAACAAGTGGCCTTGAAACCCGGCGTATATATCACGCCGCTCTTCAAGTTGTTGCCACTCAGAGGTCCCGCGTTCGTTTCCCGGTGGGGGCAAATGTTAGTATGATGAATACCCGCATTTGCACCTTAGTCATGGATGTTTATATGTATCTGTCTGGATAAAATATACTTATAAATGTAAACGTATTCTATCCGTTATTTTAGCATCCCTTATCACAAGCCTTACAGTGCTTAACTTTGGGAGTAGCCTAAATGGTGTCACTGCGGGTTTTTTTTTTATTTATTTATATATATTAACCAATATATTAACATTGATATTTTTGCTGTCCAGGGCCTATCTGCGGCGGCCAATGCTGTGGCCGAGGGCGGGAGGCGCAGCTACGAGCGGCGCTGAGGAAAAATGCGGAGAACCGATTCAAGGTGGCCATCACGCCGCTCACGGAACTACTGCTGTCTACCAGGAGGACGCTTCAGGGTCAGTATATAGATCCACGATCTTCTACCCGGGACTTTACCATAAACTACGAACAGAGAAGGAGATTTTGTGGTTTGTAAACCTCTTTCTGCGTCCTGCGTTATAAACCTACAAAATTTTAATCGCGAGTGTTGTCGCTCACTCCTTCATTTCGCAAGACGAAAACAATAAAATTGGAAAGGTTGTTGACATTCAATATATTGGACGAAACATAGTAATATTTTATTTTATCGTATTATAATATTATAGGACGTCCAGGTGGCAGCTTTATTGCGAAGAAAATGCATTTTTTTACAATAGATGTCGCTAGGTGCGCTTAAATGTGATTCATAATAGTTAATTTTTCTGAGCGATAAACTTTTTAATGTAATATCAATTGTCATGTTTGTGTACGATAGCGCAATAAATAAATATTGTATTCCACCACATAACTGAAAGTACTTTTATACTGATAATTAAAGCAATTCGTGCAAAATTATCCCCTAACCATTCCAAAATATCAAAAATGCACAACGTTAATATTCAAGTTTTCTCTTCTGCCGGCACTCCTGGAGTGCAACCCGTCGTTTTTTTTAAAGAAACTTACAAAACTTACATAACATATAAAAATATACAAAAAGTTTATATCAAAATACAGCAAATAGTTCACAGCAGGTTCCTAATTTTGGAATCCAGCATATTGACGCCGTTATATGCCTTCAGTAGGTGATGAGATTGCAGGAAGCTCCACGGGGTAGGGAATGTACTTGAGTAAGTTAATCGGAGACTTACATAATCCGTTAAATTTTCTAATGTTAGTGACTATGTAACTTTAAAACAATATAACCTTTAAGTAAATATGTTAGCGATATTCCGAAAAACTGAGTAACTTTGGGCCTTTAAATCAAATATCAAAGGAGAACAACCACTTTGTATGAGGGATTGGTGCAGATACCAAGTTCTTCGTACATGACCAAAATATATATATTATTGTAAACCTTATTGTTAACTAGCGGCCGCCCGCGACTTCGTACGCGTGAAGTTAGTTAGAAATAAAGGTTCACTATATGTAGCCTATATGTTGACCAGACTTCTTAATAATATTCGTGCCAAATTTGAGGTAAATCCAAGCAGTACTGTTTCAGTTTATCCCGTACATACATACAGACAAAAATTCTAAAAACAATATTTTTGGCTTCGGTATCGATTGTAGATCCACACCCCAAGTACTCATTGAAAAAAAAAAAAATGTACAGTTTTGACTTTCCTACCATTTTATTAAATGTATAGAGTATACTTTCCAGTCTTTAATTGAATTTGATAGCTAGTTGGGTTAATGAGATATTACGATCATTTTTTAATTTATTTGGAACAACTTAATATCTACAAACACAAATCAGTCAAAAATATTCATTAATAGCAAGCATATTACTTATGTTGACAAATATACCTATAATCAACGTAAGGATGGTTGACCTGATGGAGAGTGAAGCTGTTTATGTTTTTAATAATACATCAGAAAATATTACAAAAATATGCTGAGGGCCAATAAAAGAAACATTTACACTTTAATCACTTTATTCATGAATTCCTTCCTTTTTTATGTTTTATTTCACAAGTATACCTTTTAAAAGTGTGGCTGAACTGGAGCCATTACATTTTGCCGCATCCATTACAAATATAATTTTACGGTCATCCGATTTGTGATAGCATTTGGTAAACGTATACCAACGGTATATATATATTTCCAACACTCACACTAGCCCCAACGGTCTAGCCCCAAAGTCCAAATGCCAGGGTAACAGATAAAATACATATACTGATACATATATAAGTATATTTATATAGAAATACATATTAAACATGACTGGAGTACAAATGCTCGTATTCATCACATGAACATAGCCCCACCTGGTTTAGAACGGGACCTCTCGAGTAGGCGATGCCATGAAACCCTGCGTACAAACCACTCGGCCACGGAGGTGTTACGAACTACTAAAAGCCCACAAGGAATTCTCAGAATGAAAAAAACTGAAGTAATATAAATGTAAATCATAATAAGATATCTGGACCCGTGTTACGCGTTCGGCAGTGTTAGGAACTCTCTATACTTAATATTTAATTATTCCTGGGCTACCCATCTGCAACCTGATTGAAAGCTAAATATCGTAGCGGCCAAAATTCAAGTAGAAATTTGCATATTTATCCAAAATACAGTTTACTCAGTAAAATTTAAATTTAATATTTACTTTAACTTATATTGCGATACCTTATATATTTATAACGTATTACGGGCCTGTATAGAGGAGTTGGTAGACTCGACTCATTGTTTAAATTTGGAGTGTAAAAGTATCATTTGCATGTGGTCATGATTTGTTTGATTTGTCAGTGTACCTGTGTAATACTAAAAAAAAATTACTAGAAAAATATACACGCTGTTCAGGCAGCAGACGGGACTCGAAACCGCACCCTTCGCTATCCGGGCGGATGTACCGGACCAATTATGATACCTGGGCCTTAATAGCCTTTTTGGATTTCTTCTAGTATTTCTTAGACTGCAAGACAGTGCCTCTAGTAACATTTCCTTCAGATTTAAACATCTACCAGTAAAATGGATAAAAATTAAAAATATACAATACAATACACAATACTTTATTGAAAACACCACAACACAGAACAGAAATGAGGGAAATTACAATTGTAAAAAACAGTGCTTCAATGGGCGGTCTTATCGCTAAAAGCGATTTCTTTCAGACAACCTTTGATAATTATGTACGTAATTGTTATAATTAGATCGATTCTCCATTCATACCTATAAATACCCCAAAGAAACATTACATAGGTATTAAAACTTGACAGAGAAAGCAATGACCCGTTAGCGAGGGGTGAGAACAACCGTCTGGATTACGTTAACTCATTTTGGGTAAAGAAGCCTTACAAGAAGCAATTTGAGTGATCTGTCGAGCGGTTAATAGTTAAATAAAAACTACGGCAACTACCAAAGTAGAGTATAGTCGGTTTTTACTGATGGACGGCGGACTTAATCTTGGGATTTAGCCAGTCCTCGATCCGCGGGATTACGACTCGACAGGATCCGTGTGGTCCCCAGAGATCCGCCTCGAGATTACTGTGACATATTACTTCACCTTTGTCTAGGAGGTTCTTTTAGAGAGCAGTAAATGAGACGTCACTCACTAAACATGTACCTCGTAAAGTCTGATGTATGTAATCCTTTAGATAGTATAGAAAATAACGTGTAATGCTGGTATAACCTCCTACATCGATGATTTCCGTGGCGGAGAGGTAGGCACGAAGCTCACAAGTCTTGCATTTTTTTTGTAAGTTTGTTTACTGTTTGTCATAGGTCCACGTAGAGCCTGATAAAACTTTTTGTTATTAATTAAATGTTCTTTTTAGTGACTCGGTTTTTATATGGGATTAATAACTGTCTAAAAGAAAAGAATGTAGTTTTCTTTACCATTAAAATAATATGGTTTTTGTGATCTTTTAATATAGTTATTTTATGCCAAAGGACTATTTTTATTTCTTAAGTGTCTTGGGCGTAAGCCAGGTGATCATCCAAAAGAACCTGAAAGAAGCGAACAAATTTTTCACACTGTTGATTGCAAATGTCTTTTATTTACAGTGTTATTAGGCTTTGTGTCAGAGTCTTTGTGTTGTGGCTATCGGAGCCTTTGGGTTTAAATACTTGGGTAGTTGTATTAAAATATATATACTGAAATCCTCATTTTTGCAAAAAACTTTAAGTCGCTGGTCCAGGCTTTTGCTGGCATCGATAGAACCTACCAATCGAAACCAGGCACGAATTGATGATTCTGTCGTGTAGATAACCCAGTGGTTCATCAGAGACGATTAATTAATTGACGATGAAGTGATTAGTTACCGTTGTCATTTACACATTTGTTGCTGTATTTAAAGATAACATTAGTAATTTAATGAAAACTTTCACAATCATGATACGCTATTGTTAAGTTAAACAACAATAGATCCCATTAAAAGCAAGACTGATTATTAAATTTCGAAACAAACACAAAATTTTCGATGTGTACCCGCAAGCACATTTACAAAACAAACACCCGCTACCATTCAATTATCGAGCACTATCGTATATTTGTTGTTTCAATAACAGATCAATCGCGCTAACCAGGTGTATTGGATCATTTCTAGCCGGTCCTACCACAACCGCACTATTGTTGAGGAGTCTTGGAAAAACAAATAGGGGTATCCGAACATTCATAAGCGAAGCGTACAATTGTTGTTCGAACAAACACTCATCATGTGGGTCCTCAAATTGGGCATTAGTGCCTTGAGATTTGAATAGAATGGCGTGGAGATGACTGTAATAATATTTAAGGCACTCCCTACCAACAATGGTGTACGTGAGAGCAAATGTTGGTAACGAAACCTAAGCCGTGGATACAATGGCTCTCATTAGCGATGGAGGGAACTAATTGTTTGCTAAACATACTTCCACGCACACTATTATTCATAAAAGAACCTTGAACACATGAATATTCCCAATAGTTACAGGTCTTCTTTTCGGACGGAGTGTACATGGAAAAATCCTATGGAAAAGATGAAACGGAGATGCGTCACGAGCGTCACACGACTGCATATATATATATATATATATATATATGTGTGTGTGTGTGTGTGTGTGTGTGTGCATGTGTGTGTGGGATGCGTGCGCAGCTCTTCCCAACGAGCATGAAAATTAGAAGCTAACTCAGCGAAGACTGAAACGCTACGAGCGCCACACGCGACAATATATGTATGAGCAATGCGTCCGCTGTTTCATTCCCCCATGCCTGATGTTAGGTTGTTTCAGAAAAGAAGTTTCACTTCAGACGTGCGGTCCGTGCGCACATTTTTTTTTAAAAAGGGAGAAATATTAAAATTAAAATGTGAAATTTTCGTGCTTTTCCGTGCTTCGGTAGACACGTGAAACCGTTACGCAACGCGTGACACAATAGATTACCTCTCGCCACCTGATGTTGAGT